GAGAATGGGAGCGTCGGATGGAGAAGATTATTGTCGTGACCCGGACGCAAGGCGAACATGCGGCTGGCGCCACAGGGCGCAGGAAGTGCGCAGGGGGGTGTTCGGGTCATGAGGGTGTCTTGAGACGAGAGAGAGATAAGAATATTGAGGGGAAGACCCACTGGCCAGTCGGATTGGAGCGAATTCGGACTAAGACCGGCTGATAGAGGCGCGTTAAAAGGCGAGACAATTGTTAAATTTCTTCGGTCAGGTAGGCATCGCTTGGACACGTAAAGGCGTCATATACTTATAAAATACTTATTGTGCGGAGTGAGAAAAGCGGTGACGCTGCCCCCGGGTGCATAAAAGTGAGTAAGCAAGCGATAAAAGCACGGAGGGCCCGGGAGCAAGAGCCAGGCGGGGCCGCCGCGCCTGAGACCCTCAGGTCGACAATGCAATTGAAGGGGTTGCAACTTCACCAAGGTGTTTTATGTTGTGGTGGGCAACGTGTGACAATGCTAGGCCGATATAAGCCAGTTATGCTTAAGCAGCATTTTGGTGCGGATGAGCAAAATTCCATTCCCAATATCCACCTAATGTGAGGATCGGGCAGCAGACTCATTCAAACTGGCTTCAGCCTTTGGCAAGTGATGCTAATGAAGAATGTACTCCAAGGTAAGCGTTACATGCAAGCACTGGCGAATTATAAACGTGGCATTTTTAATTTTTTGGTCTCAGTTGAGGATCTTTAAGGGGAGTGTAGCCACAATCACAGCTCGAACTATCAGAATTCAATGAAGAAATGTTGAATGTTCACAGAGCATGCGGATGAAGTAATAAGCATTTCGGCCCGGCGCATGTCGTCGCGCCGGATGTGTAACGGACTTTCACTGTCCTTTAAGTTTCCCTGGAAGGCGTATAGTGTGACTGCATGCCGATACAGGGGCTGGAGCGAAAAAAATCGGTAGTCTATAACGGGATCTGCAGGCTGCTTGGAATATGAGCCCTCAATCGCGATGCATGGGTGAGCGCCTGTTATAAACAAGGCTCCTATTCTCCAATTATAGGGTTGATCTATTAGCCTATGTCGCTGTTCATCATTAGCAGAGGAGATTGTTTGTGAAAGCTCCCAGTGAAGAAAGCGTTAGCAGTTTAACCTACTTTTTATGTTGCAGTGCTGGAATTGGCGTTGAAGTCCTTGGTTCAACGCGTACGGAACAGCAGTGCCCGACTCTGTGTTTAACATAGACATGACCCTCTTCTTAATACAAACCACAGTGTGTGGGAAGGTTCAAAGCGAGGAGAGTAGGCCACCAATTCAAGAGTGTTCATCGCGAAAGGCTTAGGAGGTCCGAGGTTTGTGATTTTCTTCAACTACCTGGACATCGCCAAACGAATATTTGCCATCTTGTGAGACATACTCTAAAGGTCTATTGCAACCTGTAGTCGTCTCGCTGCGTCGCGTCCATTGACAGGCTTCGATTCTTCTTACGATTGCCTCTTCAACAAATTCGACGGGACTCAGGAAAAATGCTGAAGACCCTGCAAAAATGGAGCACGGGAAATTTGGATTCGCTTACTTTTCTGCTCGCTGGCCTTTTCTCCCAATCCGCCTTTCAGTGGCATGTCAGTTCTTGATGTAGTCTGTGCATTATTGATATTGGCGTGCTCGTTAAGAGAGTCGCGAGTTGTGTGTGAGGTGTTGAATGTGGCTCTCAGTGATGCGACACAATCTACTTAGTAGCGTGTACCCGATATGATTTTCGCTCCGGTCCATGTTCCTCCTTTTATCGAGCAAGGCAGGAGAAAAGGAGGAATATGCAGAAATGCGACCAGCGCTGTGATTCGGGGCTATGCTAGCGTGCAGGCGCTCTAGCGTCCGTTGATACCGGTTTCTTATAAGGATCTATTTATTTTATTGTATTCGTTTGAAAGCGTAGACAAGTCTACGTGATGTAGGGCAATCAAAACGCATATAAAACCAAAAACAGACGAAGGCGCACAGAAAATGGCATAATGTCTGTGCTAAGAGAGAGAGAGAAAAAAAAACTAGCAAAACAATGAGTGGTGAAAAAAAAACATAATAAACACAAGTCAAAAGTAATGAGTATCACGAAACCCCTGGAAGAAAGAACCTGAGAACAGATCAAGAAAAATTGCTCTAATTTTCAGAGGCCAGTCTTTTGAACTGACTAAGAGACAAAGTTAGCGTATTTTGACGGAATAACTTGTTGAAACGAGTGAGAGTCCTGACAGGAAAACTATTGAACCTGGCCTGAGTTTTAGAAACCGGAATCTTGAGCTTGATACTACCTCTCCTAGTGTTTCCTCTAACAACCTCAAAGAAGTCTGAGGAGCGCAAATTCACTCTTCCGGTCAATATCTTAAACGCCATAAGCAAATCATTAAGAACACGCCTAGAAGATAAACTTTTGAGCCCTACTTGATCCCGTCTGTCAGCGCCATTTGGTATAAGCTGGTAGCCGACCCCACAACATCGCATAAAGAGCTTTCTGGTAAAGTTGTTCTGCGGCCTTCTCGATAAGTCACTCCATCCTCCGCTTTTTAGTGAGGATAAGATTCTAGTTGGCAGCCCCTTTCGACTATCGGACGAATATATGTCTTGTAAGCCTTTAATAGCGTACGCGAATCCTTGGTACGAAGCGCTTTAAATAAATTATAGATCCTATGATTAGCTTTGGATATAATGGACTTATAATGGGTGTCAAAACAGAGCTTATCATCAAATAGGAATCCGAGGTCCTTAACACTAGTAACTCTAGTTTACTTTACTTCATTACCATTGATGTGATAGACAGCTGCAATATCTTTGATAGATTTTCCAATTTGAAGAAATAGAGTTTTATCCGCAGCAAGAGGCAGATCCCAAAGATTGGACCATTGAGCCATATAATCAATTGCAGATTGTAAATCAGCAACATCTTTAACTGTTCGTATACTTTTGTAGATCCTAATATCGTCAGCGTACATTACACAAGTAACACCCCAATTTGCAAAAGCTTTGGGCAAGTCAAAAGTGTAAACAAGGAAAAGCAAGGGTGAGAGCACTCCCCCTTGGGGAACACCACTGCAGGTGCGAAAAACCGAGGAGAAATCATTACCAATCCGAACTCGAATACTGCACGACTCAACACCATCCTGTAATTATGAATCACTGCACTACTCTTGGGTGGATAAAACTCTTGGATTGTCATAGTCGCCGTTAATGTCAACAATCATTTCAAGAGACTCCATTTGTAAGCATTGTAACTGCATCTGTATTGGGAACTGGGAACGGTGGGGCGTGGTAGTCTTGAACCTATTCGAATGAGGCATACAAGACCACGATCAATGGAATCGTCCCCGTCCCCGTAACAATGGATGATCGTTCCCCCTGGAACGAATGAAAGGACCACTGCCACATCTTCGCTATTGCTGGGTTAGAAATGGTGGAGTTCACAAAAATCCGCTATCTTTGTCCGGCTTCGTTGTGACTCTCTGCAGAGTGCAGGTCTACAAAAACCTCGCTAAGCGTCCGTGATCCAATCTCGGCATTGAAATCGCCCATTACTACGACGTAACTACTGTCATGATTGCTCGCAAGTTCAGCCATTTGGTCTTAAAAGTCATCGTTTTGTTGATCATCGCTGTCTGCTGTCGGTGCATAGACTTCCAGAACAGTAAGTCCTTCGGAATACCTGCGTTAAGAAAGCCGGAGCGGTATAGGAAGTTACGCTCTGAAAGCGCTTTTAGAAGTGTGGTGATTCGATGAATCCAAGGTCTTCTGGGGTTGAGTTGATTTAACGACCTTCTCAAGAAACTGTTGTAACATCGTTCCATTTGCAAGACATAGCTAGGTACTCAGATTTATTAGAATGCTTCAACTGTACCGACAAAAGAGAATCATGGGTTTATATAGGCACGTGGAAGGCGGAAGTGATAAGATTGTGACGTGGCAGATGGTCGATCCTTCACGCTGACGTCATAAGCTTCCGACTCGGTGGCTAACAGGGAAAAACATGTAACAAAGAAAACGAAGAAAAACATCCTAGCTTACATGCCCGGCGGTGGAGAAGAGTCGTCCCGACTCTCAGCTATAACGATGTCCTTCACTGGAAGAGCCTGCCTGGGTACGATCCTTTCCAATTTTCGGTTCCTTGTGGGAGTATGTCCATGCGGGTTTCCTCCTACAGAAAACTCGTACGCCTCCTCTTTCGGTCTTCGCTCGATTCCCTTGTTGCTCGTCCATGGGATCCACGAATGACCGGTTCACGGAACGACATAGGATGATGGCGGGCCTGTCCTGGATCTGCGATAACAAAGAAATTCGGCTTGAACTCGTCTCTGCGTCTTTTCGCTCGTGCAGCTTTTTCCTCGCGGCGCACTTGCTTCAGCTCGATTGACGCGGCATGGAATTCCGGCAGTCGAAGGATGTCAGCTACCGTGACGCGCAGTTTCTCCAAAAATAACACAATTTGTCTTCCATTGAACGGTGATCGCTTGAATCTTGGGTCCGTCCCAAGACACATTGCGGGATGAGTATACGGTGCCGACTCCAAAACTTCGGTGTAGTGATCCCGGACGATTGCTTCAAAACCTCGGTCGGCAGTCGTCATAAAGCGTACGAACTCGGAACATACTCGTCCCATTGTTAGACCATTCCGTCACATTACTGTCCTCATAGGGACTGGGGAAGAATAGCAGCGTCCCGCCTGGCTGCAGATGGCGCTCCAGCGCTATAAGGACCTGCCTCATCGATCTTCCCGACGGCATTATATCTGGCCATACGAGTATAATTGCTGTGACGATGTTGACCTCCAGCAATTTCTGGGCCAGCAACTCCCAATTCTGATAGACGTAGACAATCATCTCGCTTCCATAGTCCACTTCTGTGTGGACTCTTCCAAAAGACGACGGAAGGCCTAGAAACACTCGCTGGTGGGTCACGGTCGAGGCACCAGGAACGCTGATGTGTTTCAGCATTGCCAATGCGGTGGTGATGTGGGCACCGATATCATACTTCACGGCCCATGGAAACAAAGCCGGATGCTCGAAACGCATCCCCTGCGCGGCTTCAATGGCTTCCGAATAGCTGTGACATCTCCGTCGATGTGCTTGCATCGCCAGGGCCAGCCCGTACGGCGACAGGAATTGGCGAGTTTTTCATACGCAACTCCTCCTTCCTTACGCTCGTCTCCCCAACACTCCTTCTTCCGAAATTGAGGCCACATTGGCCAGCTGGAACATATCCGACACCCTTTTCGAAGCGAGCCATCGGGATGCTTGAGAGTCGGGATGGCTACATGCGCCATTGGTCGAATAATCCACATTCGCACTTCCGACGCAAATTCAGCGGGATGGTCGATGGTGATCAGCGTCCTGCAACATATAACTTTCTCAGACACAGTAACAGCATCGGTACCTTTTTTTGGTCTTCCCCTCTTCCTACGGGTTGTAGCCGTCCTAAGGGGTTTATTTGTGACTCCAGGTGGTAACTTCACCAGCATATCAAAAGGTATTCTTACTGCGTCTCTACCCCTTCAATTACCCTTTCAATTACCCCTCCAATTACCAGGGCACTATTCTCGCTCACATCCAGTACGCGATACGCCCCTTCCCATGGGTTCACTAACTTAGGGTTTCTAGAGGACTGCTTTTCTCTTGGAGCCTTCAGGTATACCCTATCGCCGACTTTAGGTGTCCTCCAGCATACGCCCTTATCACGATCGTATGCGATTTTCATCTTTCGGCGCATTTTATCATTTTCTTTCCGGGCATATTCCCGCGCCATCTTTGTGGCCACCGCCACTTCCTGTGCGTAGCTCTCCAGATCCACTACATAGGTGCTAAGCTCACGATTGGGCACTGTGCGCCATGGTATATACGGATCAAATCCGTGCAGCAGGTAAAAAGGTGACTCTCCCGTCGAATCATGCACCGTTGTGTTATAGGCAAACACACAGAATGGGAGGACCTTATCCCACTCTGTGGGTACGGCCACCTTCTTCCTCAACATTTGTATGAGTGTCTGGTTGAACCTTTCGGTTAAGCCATTCTCGCGAGGATTGTAGCCTTTCGTGAAAACATGCTCAATCCCCATGATTGACCTGAGCTCTTGCATGAGTCGATTGTCAAACTCTCCTCCCTGATCAGATAAGATACATTTCGGCTGTCGTCCGCCCTCAGCGATCCACCTTTCAAATAGCGTTCGAGCCACAATTGCCGCAGCTTTCGAGGGAATGGCATATGCGCCACCAAATTTTGAAAAGTGATCAATTACGCTGAGAATGTATCGGTTTCCGTCCGTCGTCAATCCCATCTCCAGGATGTCAATGCCGACCAGCTCGTAAGGCTTTGTTGTAACAATAGGCTTCAACCCTGGCGTCATTGGATGACGATGATTATGACAAAGACACTCTCGACAATCTTGTGACCATTGGGCAATATCCCTTTTCATGGTTTCCCAGAACAGGTCTTTTGACAATTGTCTGAACAATTTCTTTGGACCAAAATGTCCAGCCAGCGAGCCTGAATGCGCCTCTTCGAATATTGCTCTTCTCTTGGACGGGGGTACAACCCTCCGCACCGAACAGTTATCCAGTAGCGCTAAGTACCCTTTGTCCATTATGAAATCCGCAACTTTGAACTTATGGGAAAGTTCTGGTATTGCAACATCCATGTCAAGGTTTCCCTTTTCGAGGTTCTCTATCACCTCCGCATAGATAGGATCTTCCCGTAGCTCGTTTGTCCACTCAGGCTCTTCTGCCACCAATGCTACAATGAGTTCATTTGGGATTGTTCCCGTTTTCTCACCCTCATCTGTAGACACAGCACCACGGCTCAGCGCATCGGCGACGCGGTTGGCAGCACCTTTTAGATAGATAATCTTTAAGTTGTACTTCTGGAGTTCAAGTGCCCACCTGAGCACTCGCGCAGAAACGTTTGTCCGCTTAAAGAGCGCTGTCAGAGCTTGGTGATCAGTATAGACTTCAACCGGAAGTCCATACACAAACATATGAAACTTTCGCAAAGCGAAAACAACCGCCAATGCTTCCAAATCGGTCACGTGGTAGTTCTTTTCGCACCGAGACAAGCCTTTCGACGCGAAGAACACTGGATGTAGGAATCCATCTTCTCCCTCCTGACTCAAAACAGCACCAAGTCCTTGAATACTGGCGTCGGTATGAATTTTGAAAGGCTTTCTTCCGCTCCTAGCTCCTTCAATATCTGGCTGCGCCAGCACTGGCGCCTGTGCAATTACAGACTTAAGCTTGTCAAAGCATGACTCCTTTGTAGAATCCCACTTGAACGGCACCTTTTCGGACGTCATCTCATGTAGCGGTCCGGCTACTCTTGAGAATCCCAGAACAAACTTTCGGTAATATGAACACATACCGAGGAACGTCCGGAGGTCCGACCGAGACTGCGGCAGCGGGTATTTCATGATCGCTTCGACCTTGGCTGGATCCATGTGCAACCCGCTATGGTCAATCACGTGGCCGAGGAACTCAACTTTCCTCTCCAACAAAACGCACTTCTTTGGATTTAAGTTTGAGTCGTGCTTTCGACAATTCCTGAAAAACTCGTTCCAAGACTCTTAGATGCTGCTCCACTGTTCCGGTCGCTACCATTATGTCATCCAAGTAGCAGAACACTTCTTCTCCTAGCAGAGGACAAAGAACAACATGCATCAGTCGTTGGAAGACGGCTGGCGAGGACGCTAGACCGAATGGCAAAACCCGAAATTGGTATAATCCTTCGGTAGTCGTAAACGCCGACTTTTCCTTGGCATCAGCCGACAAGCTGATCTGCCAGTAGCCTGACGATAAATCCAAAGTCGAGAAGTAACTTTTACCCCTCAAGCTTTGCAAAATCGTGTCAATCGTTGGCAAGGGATAACTGTCAACTCTTGTCACCTGATTGAGCTTCCGATAATCCACGCATAATCTGAGAGTTCCGTCCTTCTTCTGCACCAACACGATGGGCGAAGCCCAACTCGATTTACTTGGTTCAATGATCTTTCGTTCTTGCAAATCATTCAGAATGCGTCGTAGCTCCACTCGCGTGCCTAGTGGCACCGGACGGGCTTTCTGCCGAATGGGCATTGCATCACCGGTCTCAATACTGTGTTCCACTAGCGTTGTTTGAGTGAGCTCTTGTTCACTTACTGCAAAAGCATGAGCGTAATGCCTGACAAGCTTCTCCAGTGATTCATTGCACTCCTCACTTGTCCTGTTACTTTGCAGTAACCTGAGCAATTTTTCTTCACGATCTCCAGTTACCTCCACGGTGCGCTGCAACATGTCTCCGGAGTATTTGACAGGCTGCACTTCCACAACTTCCGGTAGGCTTGATGGTTTCCCACCTTCTCCCCTACTCGGAAAATCTTTGCTCCTGCAAAGGTATTTGTTATAGGTAGGTTATGTTGCCTGGTTTCCACCTTTCCATACGACATCTGGTAGCAGGTGTTCCTTGGACTAAAAGATTCCCTCCTGCGCCGTGCCATCACAGTGAACACGTAGCGTTTTCGTCTCGCCTGGACGTAGGTACATCCTTTTGGTGATGGTTACTGGAAGACAACTATTTGGAGATTTCTTCTTATGTTTCACTGTCCTTTTACTTATTGTGGAGGGTTTTCTCCTTCAGCAATGATAAGTTATACGATTGTTCGGTGCTGGTAGGTGAGGCCGTAGCCGAGCTTCTGAAGTGCATTTGTTCCTAGAACTATCATGCCGTCTCCTCCGGACATGGCAAACAAAGCGATTCGCACCTTCCTTCCGTCGGATACTTGCAGCGTTAGCTTGATAGCTCCCTTGAAGGACATTTTATTACTCGAAGCATCTAATACCTGCTTTCTGCTGTTCCAATGGTATTTCTTCCACGTCAGCATCTAAGTCAAGAGCTGATTCCTCAAGCTGCTTGGACTATTCGCAGCTGGTATGATGCTGATTTGGGAACCTGTGCCCAACAAAGCTCTTACTGACATCCCAAGTAGATGCAACTTTCTGTGTTGTTTTAATTCCATCAACCCACACACGTCTACTTTTATCCCTGGCCTCCACTGCACCGCAATATCCACTTGTCAGGGATGCAGTGAATATCTCGCCGTCCTGCTATATAAGTTTACTGGACTGCGCTGAACTTCTATTTGGCAATCGACTGTCTAAATTGTGGAAAAGTGTGACTAGGGGAAGCAGGATGCTCGTTTTAAAAGGCTTTCGTAACGCTAGTTTGAAGTGGTTTAGAATGACGGAGGGTGGGTCCTGTTGCATGATACGTCATGTGGCGAACAAGAAAGGCAGGTGCGAAAGCCTTGCAAAGTGCCAGGGAAAACGAGAAAATGGGACCAAGTCCCTTTTGGGCCGGTTAATTGAGTGGGCGGGAAAATACGTCGGAGATTCGACCTTGACGCGGCGGGGGAAAAGGGCTGCGGAGAAGACAGGCGGCACGCGTGGGTTAAACGTATATTGCCGTCCACCCGTCTGGGGGGGCAGGGCAAACAGCAGGCATGGCGCCCTAACCGTGCTGCGGCTGGCAACACGGCTCGCCCAAGCCACCGATGAATCATGGGGCGGGGCGGCGCATGGGGCGGAAGGGCGCAATGGTCCTGCTCAGCAACCACAGCACTGTTCGCAGTGCAAGCGCCACACATCGCTTCCTTGGCGGCCTGCTAGTTGCTCTGTGGGGAGCAGGTTCTCCGCAGATGTGAAAATTCCTTTTCGTATAACCGGCGAGCTCCTTAACCCTTTCCGGACCGCCTGACACACATGGGGTGTCAGGCCCAATTTGCTCCCTGTGGCCGCCTGACACACATGGGGTGTCAGGGACTTCAAGGAGTAATTTTTTTGCGAGGATTCGGTTTTTCTACAAAATGTTTTTTGTTGTTACATATCTATGTAACATACTTATGCCGTACGTATGAAAAAATCTGGACTACAATCTCGAAATAGGTCCTAAACTAAAGAAAAACTAAGTTAACTTCCACTTCGTTCTTGAAGAAAACAGTTATAACTCATTTGAAAACAATTCATACAAAAGCAATCATGACATTTTGTACACGTCGTAGCTGATACTATTGAACCTAAAAGTTTTGGATACTTTCTAATCCCTTTTTCCTCATTACAACTTATTTTGAACAATTTTCACTCCTGCCTTCCTTTGTGTGGCCCTGTCACTTTTATTACAGGACGGCTTTCTGTTATATTTACCACAAATATACTTTAAGAAATGAGAAAGACACAAACGAGAATAATATTGGTTTTTATGGGAATACAGATTAAATACATGATGTTTATGCTCGCGAGTAGCGGCTCGAACGGTGAGCGTAAAAAAGGCGCCGGGCCACACGGAAGTGAAAGAAAAGTGCGTCGTCCGTATATTCAGGGTTAAGGTGTCCTTGTTTATCACAGTTGTAGCATCTTACAGAGAGTTTCCGCTGTTCATCCTCTGAGCGCGCTTCTCTCCCGTCAACTGCGCCTGTTGGTTGTGTCGCAGAATTTTCTGCGTTACTCGCTTTGAACTTTTGACCAGCTATGCGTCTTTTGCGTTCCTCACGACTTTGATTATAACCTGTAGAAGTTTCTCTTATTGCTGTCGCGACCTCTCTACTTCTCTCGCATCTTTGCGCCATGGCTTTGACCATTTCATATGCCGCCTCCTTTGGAGCAATCTCCATGGTCGTATAGAGTTGAAGATATTCGGGCCAGTCCGTCAACTGGCTTACCAACTCTCCTGCCCTGGTGCGAGACAGTTCTTCTTCTGAAGCGTCAGGGTATGCCTCTCTGGTTAGCCTTTCCAGTTCCAGACAATACCTTGTTACGTCTCCCGACCTTCTCAAGCGCTTCAAATCCATATACGCTTTCATTTGAATGGACGAACTGTTTACCTCAAACTTCGACCTCAATGCATCAATTAAGCGTCGAAGCTTCCTTCCCTTATGTGTTTAGGTAGTGCCTTAGCCACTGCCTTTGGGTACCCGTCCAATTTTGAAAGCAGCAAGTGGTTAAGCAACTCATCCTGAAGCCCAAGATTTTGGTATTTCATCGAAAACCTCAGTACGAAATCTTCGAAATTTCTCCCTTGGGGATCTTTGTATGTCTCGACCTCGGGATAAAGCCATTGCTGCCAATATACAGCCCATTTGACTTTCTGAACGATGCGACTCACCTGGGCTTTGACACCTCGTCGACGACAATTGGGTCAAGCCCTTGATCTTCGGCCTCAAGTCGGTCGTCTTTCCTGGCTGCAAAAACATCTGTTCAGCTGTCCCAGGCTTGATTTCATCAGTTTTGCCAGCTTGTTGGCGAAGCCTACCTTGAGCAGCAGCGATAGGATCGAAGTTTAGATGATATTCGACATTGTCGAACTCGCTGACATTTAGCTGCTCGTAGACTGTCGCAGGAGCGTCTCCACAGCTTCCTGTTTCCGGATGCTGACGAGGCTGAAAGTGAAAAGGATTAGAATGCTCAGTGTGAAATGCTGCTTGCTCAGAAGTCGCCTCATTTTCGACTTTAGGTGAGAATACCTTTTCATACTGCTTAGCCTTCTGTTCCGAGCATATCACTTTGAAGAGCCTTTGCGTGTAACACTAGCGTGAGCGTTTCGCACACTACCTTTTTATCAGCGCAAACTTCGTGTTCCAACTCATTCAACCGCCCTAGCTCCTGCTCAATGAGGTTGCACTCCTCACTTATCCTTGAGCTTACTAGGTCCTCTAGTTGCTTAGCGGTTCTAGTTGCAACCCCCTGCAGCATCTGTGCAGGCCACTCTCGCAAACCTGCCAACCCTCATTGCAATAACTTCACTTGAAGTACGCACCTGTGGCATTTCCTTGCTGCGAGGCTGTCCACCTTTTTGACAAGGTGCTCCAGCGTCGTTTTCATTGACGCTAACTGTTCTGCTGTTGCTGTGCTCTCATCCAACAGCAGACGCTCCAGATCCTCTGGATTCATCTCGACAACAGACATGGTAACCTGCAACTGAGAAACTATCCGATCAGCTGTTTCTTTTCCAGCGCGTTTCTAAAGCTGAGTGCAATACTATATGAATATTCGTATATCACCGAATCGTAACGATCGATACGTTTGGACCCTTCCCGCTGATAGGAGTACGCCCCGACTATAACAGTCAGTACAGCCAACAGTACTGCCTAACCGTTGAGTCGGAGGGGTACTCTGCCTACCCTCGGCAGGAGTCTCGCCTTCGCCGTTGTTACCGGCCCCGCAGGCGGTATCGATCCTCTGAGTCGGTACTTGGGTTCGGCCCCCAAGTTACGCGGATAGCAGGCACTCAGATTTATTAGAAAGCTTCAACTGAACTGACAAAAGAGAATCATGGGTTTATATAGGCACGTGGAAGGCGGAAGTGATAAGATTGTGACGTGGCAGATGGTCGATCCTTCACGCTGACGTCATAAGCTTCCAACTCGGTGGCTAACAGGGAAAAACATGTAACAAAGAAGAACGAAGAAAAACATCCTAGCTAACACAAGCAGTTAAGTGGCTAACTCTGGTCCTTTTATTTTAGCGCCTATGGCACTGCAATTTCTTTAGCTGTTTGCCGATCCAGCGCTGCCTGACTGGGCAGAGTGCCTGTAGGGGACTAGGCGATCTGGAGAAGTGGTCGTAGTGTTGTCGGTCCTACAGGATAGCCTCGCTAGGGCGTTTCTGTCGCTCAAGGAGAGCGCCATCCCACCATGGGCGCTCTTCTTGAGCTTGGACGCTTTGTGTTCTTCAGTCACGAGAATCGGTATGGGGTTTTGGCGCAATCTTATTCTGCGAATATTCCGACCTTACCAGGAATGGCATTCAACTTCCCATGGAACTTTGAGGTGAGACCCAGATATATCGATAGAGCTTCAAACGCTGATTACAAATATGGAAACTAAAACTGCAAAATGAACCTGCCCTAATGCTCTCGGAATTTGCGCTCCGACGGGAAGGAGAGCTTATGACCTCCAGGGTGAATAGCGGCACCACCACTGCTCCGCGGCGACTTTGAAAGCCGGAGGCTAGTGTAATGCTTTACTTCCAGCCAACTTTGACTGCTCACAACTTCCTTGGCAGGTTCATTTTGCAGTTTTAGTTTCCATATTTGTAATCAGCGTTTGAAGCTCTATCGATATATCTGGGTCTCACCTCAAAGTTCCATGGGAAGTTGAATGCCTTTCCTGGTTAGTTGTTTTCTAGGAGCAAACGTCACACACGTTCCAAGTCATCCTGATCGGAAAATGTACGACTTTGCAAAACTTAAGCCTCATTGAAATATTTTTTAGTGCGCCCTGTTATCCCTCCCCCCCCCCCGCCTGCACGAAATCTGGAGCGCTCCTTGACTAAAGCTGCAACGCAAGCGCGTCTTACGGAAATTTGGGTTTTGCTTGCTTTCTTCGCGCCTTTTCCAATCCGCTTTTCATACATGTAACTTTTTATGTATCTATGTTGTTTATTGGAAGGCCGCCCGTAATTAGCTTCCGTTCTTATGTGATTGTACTGTGCGTTACGCTGGCGACCAGCCACCGCAGTTATCTTGACGATTCTATATGAACGCATAGACAGCAACAAGAGGGGTTCGCAAGTAGACCGCTCGACAAGCAACGTGATCTTGACCCTGAACTGAGGTAGGTAACAGAAACCCCGAACTGAGGTAGGTAACAGATTCCCAATCCAACCTAACTATGTTTTGTAATACTTGGCCAACATTTTTTTGAAATTGGTTTGTTTCATTAGGCTAATATTTGTTTTCAATATCTTGGTACCATAGTTTTGGCCCACCCTGTAAATCGACAAATGTGCAGTTATCGCTCCTTGGAATCCCATCCACTGAGAGGAGAGCTTTCAAAAGTAGCGTGAAGACGCGTGAGAACACCCCTAACGACCTTTGTGGTCAAAAATGCCTCCATTGTATGTGGTTTACTCAAAAAATGTGGAGTCCAACGAAGAAATGAATTTACACCAACAAAAAACTTTATTAAACAGGCGGAGTGTAGCAAAAGAAAAATCACTTCAACACTATATCGTTTTGATAGCCTGTGACCATATGCAGAAACCATTCAGGCAGCTGGACGTGCAGGAACTAAATTATCGTGTTTATTTAAATTAATTTCAATCTGAGACAGATAACTAGTACCGTATCGATATTCGAGGTCGGTGGTTATGAAACTATAAAGAACGCTGCTGTACGTGATCACTGGCACACGATTTGTGTAAGATTGAAACACATGTCCAATACCGTCAGGAGTGCAGAACCTTCAATTTATTTTGAATTCATCGCAGTTGTTTGAAACTCCTGCAATGGAGCTCAAGGGCAAAATAGAAATCAATTGAAATCTTAGAATGAAGAGTAAAATTAGAGGCAAGGAAGAGAAATAGCTCATCGCTCTCTGGTCACCATGTTCTCTCCTTGCGCTTGCACAAACTGTTGCGTCTCAGAAAAATTTAAGTCGTTCAACACAGGTTGTATTCTATGAAGACACTCTAACTTGCTACCATTCGGTTTCTTTTCTCTTTTAAACTTAAAACCCTTACACAACAACTGTACCTGTAACCAGTTAGTGTTTGGTTTTTGTTGGTTTTGAGCTCGAAA